TCCGTTAGACGCTAAGGAAGTTCGTCGTCACTGTTGTCGATTTCGATGCACTCAATTATGCCAGATCTGGCCACACTGGCAGCAACGCGCCGTCGGCTCCTTCCCTATCCGGCACAGGTATCTCCCGAAGCTGCCATGCCCCGAGAAACACCTGTGCCATCCTGTAAGTGAGGCTTCCATGGCCTCTGTCCAGCCACTCACATAGGAGTGGCCGAACAGCCCCGACTGTCCGGTGCCCCGCGGTAGGCAGAGCCAACCGCTCTTGCCACGCGTGCACCACGAACTGCCGGGCCTGGCGCTTCAACTCGCCCCAGGCAGGTTCCTGCACACCCGGGACCGCCCCCACCCCCGTGCGACGGTCGACGCGGTGACGATACATCGTCGCGTGCGACCGCGCGAGGAGATCCATGGGCGGCATCCCCGCAAGAACCGTCGCCGCCTCATGTGACACGGTCCGGTACCCGCGGACGACCCTTAGAGCCATCCGCCTCTGCACCCGACGCAGCATAGTCATGCCGCGCCGGGAGGCCGCCAGGTCGTCCGCCCAGACGGGGGCCCCGTATAGGGCCACCGACTGAACCATTGCCACATAGAGGCAGCGAACTCGGCCCGCCGGGCCTCCCCAGTTTGGGCAGAATCCGGCCCAAAGCACCGACCATCCTTTCCAACCGGGGGACCAGGCAGCGGAAATGCTCCTCGAAGCGCCAGTGGCTATCGAGGATCAGCCCCAGATACCTCATCTGGGGCTTCACCTCGATATTTGCCTCACCCACCCGGATCAGAGGGGGTGGCGGATCCTGCCCGGGTCTTGGCTCGTTTGATGGCGACCTGCAGAGCAACCCGCGCCATCCGGTATGCCTCATACAGGTCATCTGCCCTCGCTCGTGCCACGCTATCGTCTGGTCGTAGACGACGGCGCGCGCGGGCGTACTGGCGTCGGGCGCGGACACTCGCGACCCGCAATTCTGCGATCGCGGCCAACCACCAGTACACCGCCTGGCGAGGAGAACCTCGCCCGACCCGGGGCATCGACGCGTCGCAAATGTTTGCGACTAGTACCCCGAGCCGGGCAGCTTCCTCCTCCATGCTTGGCAACTCGGCCGCCACCTGCGGCCAAGTTGCAGCGAGGGCAGCTGCCATCAGGCCTTCCTTGTCCAGGCGCAGGCCGGAAGGAGACCTGCGGATTTCTCCGACCCGCACGTCTCCCTCGGGGCAATCACCCGCCCTCGCCAGGGCACAGGACACCTCCTGCGCGGTGACCGATTCGTCCAACCCACATATGCGCATCTCTGTGCGCTTCGTGGGCCGGGCGACTCTGACACCCCGCTGGCCCAGCTGCTCCTGGAGCCTCTGGGCGAGTAGGTCCGCCTTCTCGCCGCCCTCTGGACCAGGGATCTCCAGCAGGAGACCCCCGGTCACAGCCCTCTTCGCCCTCGCGGAAGCGATGCCGAGCTCCTCCAGGGATATATTATCCCTGGCGAGCTGCATCGCCCCCGCGAGTGTCAGGTCGCTCCCCTGAGGTACGGTCAGCGTCACTGCTGCCGTTTTAGGGGGGCGCCCTGGTCGCACCTTCGCGGCCTTTCCCCTGGCACCCGGGTAAGCCTAATACTCCGGGGGTTCGGCAGGTGCCCCGGAGGTGGTCGCTTGGGATTGGGCCTTCTCCCCCAACCATGCATCCCATCGCCGCGCACCATAGCTTAGGATTGGAGGGCGATTTTATAGAGTCGCCATACTCTTGGCCCAGGCGGTTAAGCCAAGGCCCCCGCTTCTCCTGCCGTCACGTACCATTCACAAAACCAAAAAAAAAGGAATTGTGAGTGGGTCGTTGTGACGACCAACAGGAGGCTTACGGTGTGATTAGCTTCAGGTACCTCGGGGTCGCTACCCCCCGTACTGCGGCCGACGATTGCCGGACACAGCCCCTGAGGGGTGGGCGGACGACCAGGCGGCCTCCCGGCGCAGCATGACTATGCTGCGTCGGGTGCAGAGGCGGATGGCTCTAAGGGTCGTCCGCGGGTACCGGACCGTGTCACATGAGGCGGCGACGGTTCTTGCGGGGATGCCGCCCATGGATCTCCTCGCGCGGTCGCACGCGATGATGTATCGTCACCGCGTCGACCGTCGCGCGGGGGTGGGGGCGGTCCCGGGTGTGCAGGAACCTGCTTGGGGCGAGTTAAAGCGCCAGGTCCGGCAGTCCGTGGTGCACGCGTGGCAAGAGCGGTTGGCTCTACCTACCGCGGGGCACCGGACAGTCGGGGCTGTTCGGCCACTCCTATGTGAGTGGCTGGACAGAGGCCATGGAAGCCTCACTTACAGGATGGCACAGGTGTTCTCGGGGCATGGCAGCTTCGGGAGATACCTGTGCCGGATAGGGAAGGAGCCGACGGCGCGTTGCTGCCATTGTGACGCTGAGCAGGACACGGCGGAACATACCCTCGAGGTATGCACTGCGTGGGAGGGGGAACGCCGTGTCCTGGTCGGCGTCATCGGGCGGGATGTCTCGCTGCCGGGCATGGTGCGCGCCATGCTCGGCAGCGAGGAGAAGTGGAGGGCCGTGGCCTCCTTCTGCGAAATCGTAATGTTGCAGAAGGAGACCGCGGGAAGGGAGCGCGAGCGTCAGCGGCGCGCTGAGGCTCGCGCTCGTTTGGTGGCGAGAGAGCGTCGCCTGGGCGTCAGGCGACGCGGGCGGCCCCCTCGGCGTGGCGCATGACCCAGGCTGGGAGGGGGGTCCTGATAGGAGCCCCCTCCCGCCAGGCGGCGTAGGGTCGGACCGGATGGGGTGGCAGTGCCTCCTGTCCGGGTCCGGCGCACGGAGCGGCACCCTCGGTGGCCTGGTGCGGCCATGAGCTGCCGGCCTCCGAGGGGTAGAAACGGGGTCGCGGCGGTTGCGAGTTGGGGCTCGCAGCCGCCACTAGACGCGGCCCCGGGACGGATGGCGGCAGGACGATGTGGCCTCGTCCTGCCGCTATGAGACAGGGCGATTACCGGGGGGACCGTTTGTCCCCCCGCGGGTGGGCGCAAAGCGCGGGCACGGGGAGGATACCGGAAGTATGCTTCGAGCGATTCCCGGTATCCTCCCAAATCGTGCGGAAGGGTCACCGTGGGGTTTTTAGTGGGTAGGTCCCGCGCCCGTTATAATGGGCGCGGGGAATCCCACACACCCCTCCCGCCTCTCCCCAAAGAGGTGGGAGGGAGTCTTTCGAAGATTTTCCCCACGAAAGGCCGAGCCGCCGCGGAGACCTCTCCAGACCTGGCCCGCCGTCGGAAATTTTTTAAGAGGGGGGGGGATGACGATCGACGAGGGGGGGGATGACCCCCGAAAATTTTTTTCTACACCCACAGACATTTTTTATTGTCTTTTCGGCGTTCTCGGTACGTTTGATGAGATCTAAAAAAGAATTACATAATGTTCTCCTAAGAAAATATTTACAGCTAGCGAAAAAAAAACAACACATCATTCGGCTCGTAAATCTATTCTTTCTATTTATAAAGCATTGTGCCATGCAAAATGGATTTAAAATATTCAACTGGTGGTCTAAACGCCAGAGAGAAATGCGTAAATAAATATAATCAATTTAAAGGCTGACCGTCGATTTAATTTATATTTTATATTTTATATTTTAATCCGTTGGACGCAGCGTGTCGCGAACACGATATTGCATATTCGCGTAGCAACGACCTCGGCGAAAGGCACGCAGCAGATAACGTACTCGCTGACAAAGCGCGAAAACGCATCGTTGCGCGAGACTCGACTCTGGATGAAAGAGGAGCTGCAATTTTTCGAGTAAATTTTTCGCATTTAGTATACAGTATGAAACTTTTTATTTCTTGTGTTTCGTAATGATATTAACCATTTTCTATAACGCGTTTGTAAATATGTAATATGTAAATATTTTCTTAGGAGAACATTATGTAATTTTTTTTTAGATCTCATCAAACGTACCGAGAACGCCGAAAAGACAATAAAAAATGCCTGTGGGTGTAGAAAAAAATTTTCGGGGGTCATCCCCTCCCTCGGTTCGGTATGAAAAGTTTTCGGGGATCATTCCCCCCCTCTTAAAAAATTTCCGACGGCGGGCCAGGTCTGGTGAGGTCTCCGCAGCGGCTCGGCCTGGACTAATCCCCTCCATGATTGCGACATCCCCCACTCCGCGGCTCGTGTGCGCGCATTAAATCTTCCACTCCCCACAGGCCCCGCGCCCAGAGTTCTCCGCGCCGCACTCCTCCGCGCGCACTCACTTCCCCTCGCCCCACGCCCCCCTCATTGCCCCGTGGGTTACAATCCCCATAGCTATACTACTGTACAGAATCCTCTTCTTCCCCCTAATCAATGGGATATGGGACGAATTGAAGAGGTTTACCCAGGTAAGGATGGGCACGCGCGTGTAGTTAAAATACGCACGGCCAAATCTACATTTACACGACCAATTACGCGGTTGTGTAAATTGCCTGTGGATTTTTCCCCGACAACAACGATCGGTAATATAGGAAACCCGGGCAATGATAACGGAAGGTGAAGTAACACCGCGTCCTTAGTAACCGGTGTTCACTCGCATCTATCCGTGGTTGCTAGGGCTCGAGCTAAGGTACGGGTTGCCTAGCAACACAAACAACCCGACTGAATCTGTGGTCCACGCGACGCCATATTGGCTTCAGTACAGATTCAGCCACAATGAGCGATACGAGTAGCGAATCAAACGCGCTCATGATCTCGGGTGACCCCGAAATCGATTTGAGATTCGACCGCATCCTCAAGATCGGGGAGGAGGCTGCAACCCCGACCAGGGTCGAGAGCAGCGGCCGAGGACTCGAGAGAACAGGTCGAGATAAACCTCGGCCTGGATCGAGTCCGAGTCCCGGCCAAGGTCGTGCATAAAGGAGGGAAATACCACGCTCCCCACGACCCCGCCAGCCGCAACCGGCCGGCACGCGAAGGAGGTCGCGAAGGCGACCATGGCGTCCGCGGGAGACGCTTCAGACCATGGAAGCAACAACACCAGATGGATGACAAACGCGCGCGCAAAAGCATCAACACCAGAAACCGCGAACTCTTTCACGCATCTGATCTGCACGAGTGGTACCAACAATACATCACTGAACCCATCCTGGCATCACTGGAAGAATTCCAGGAACGTGACAGCGGATGGGCGCTGATACAAATCCTTAATTTGACGATTAACGTGAACAAGTATAATCCACTCCGCGCGGGGTGTCACTTCAAGCTGCCGCGAGAAATCATGCTGAAGAGGGCAACAATAAACATACAATCCTCAGACAACACATGTTTCGCGTGGGCAGTTGTCGCAGCTCTACATCCAGCTAAAAAATATCCTGAACGTCCAGGTTCATACCCGCAATATACATCGGTCCTAAATCTCCATGGCATTGAGTTCCCAATGTCCCTGAAGCAAATTGAAAAATTTGAGCTGCAGAACAACATCTCGATAAACGTCTACAGCTTCTCGATGGAGAAGAATGGACCAAAAGTCTTTCCACTGCGTCTCACCAGCCAAAAGAGGGATCGACATGCCAACCTGCTCTATACGCCGGAACAGGGAGGCAGCGATGTAGGACATTTTGTCTGGATCAAAGACTTATCCCGACTAGTGGGCGCGCAGTTGAGCAGACACAAAAGAAAAAAATACTTCTGTGACCGGTACGTATAGAAATTTATGAAATGTTCCCAATGAAAAACAGATTGAATAAAAAAAAAATTTTTTTGTTTGCAGATGTATGCACTATTTTGACTCTGCCGAGAAGTTGGACACCCACACAATTGACTGCCGCGAGATAAACAACTGCGCCATCCTGTTGCCCAGCCAGGACAGTAAATGGCTCAGTTTCGACAGTTGCGGCAGGAAGGGACGGCTCCCCGTCATAATATATGCCGATCTGGAGTATGTCCTGCTAAAAACGGTGGACACCCAAAAGGATGCGGAGAACCACAAATTGTGCATGTACCAGAAACATGAGGTACATAGTATTGGTTATTATATACATAGCTCGTACGATGGGCATGCATCGCTGTCAACGTATCGATGTCATCGCAACGCGGATTGCGTTTCATGGTTTGTCAAAGAGTTGAAAAATTTTGCGAATTTTGTTAAACCCATTCTGGCAAATAACACACCCATGCTAGATTTAACAACTGAGCAGTTGTCGGTATTTCGCAATTCGACACACTGTCATATTTGTGAAGAATCATTCGAGGCTACAGATATACGAGTCCGCGATCATTGCCATCTATCCGGGCAGTTTAGAGGCCCAGCACATTCAGAGTGCAATTTAAATTATAGAAAATGCGTTTATATCCCCATAGTTTTTCATAATTTATCCGGCTACGATTCCCATTTTATTATCGAAGAAATAGCTACAGCATTCGAAGGCCACATTACTGTATTACCCATTACTAAAGAAAAGTATATTTCATTTACGAAAAATGTCGAAGATACGAATGCAGAATCAGACTCACGAAATTGTATTAAATTGCGATTCATCGATTCATACAAATTTTTAAATACCAGTCTCGACAAATTAGCATCTTTTCTTAGCACAGATAAATTAAAAATTTTACGATCTCAATTTGAAACATTATCCATCGAAGATTTCTATTTATTGACGCGGAAGGGTGTATTTCCATATGAATACCTTGATCGCGCGGACAAACTGCTGGATCCATGCTTACCGCCACGCGAGTCTTTCTACAGTTCATTAACGGGTGAGACTGCATCCGAGACCGATTATGCGCACGCCGAGACTGTCTGGCAGCGTTTCGGCATTAGAACCTTGGGCGAATACAGCGACTTGTACTTGAAAACAGATGTCTTATTATTGGCAGATATTTTTGAAAATTTTCGCGAAAGTTGTATCAAGAGTTACGGATTAGATTCAGCACATTATTATACTCTACCTGGTTTCACATGGGATGCTATGCTAAAATACACTAAAATTAAATTCGAATTACTCACCGACATCGATATGGTTATGTTTATCGAACGTGGTATACGGGGGGGTTTAAGTCAATGTTCAGGAAGATACGCACAAGCCAATAACAAGTACATGCAACCCTACGACGCATCGGAACAGTCATCGTACTTGATGTACTTTGACGTAAACAATTTGTATGGTTGGGCAATGTGCCAGCCCCTGCCATATGCTGATTTTCAATGGGTCAAAGAAGTTGAAAATTTTGATGCGTCTTCAATCGCTGTCGATTCGCCCACGGGATACATTCTCGAAGTAGATCTAGAATATCCGCAACGTCTGCATGATACTCATGCCGATCTGCCGTTCTGTCCGACGCGTGCCAAACCACCTGGCAGCAGACAGGACAAATTACTCGCGACGGTATACGATAAGCACGCTCCCCTCATTGCCCCCAGGGTTAGAACCCGCCTTACTATACTACTTATTTCTTTTCTTTTTTTCTTTTTTTAATTTTTTTAAATGTAACAATATATTATCATTTAAAACATATATTATTTATCTAATTTTATTTACCCGTGTTCCACCTTCTCTCCTCGCCACCTAATTCTAAGATGCAACGTTTCAAAAGTATTATATTTCATTCGGACGTTCTTCATGCTGCCAAATGATGTCATTCGGCGCGGCTGCTCGAGGGGATTCAAATTACATGCAATCGCGCGATACGCTGCGACGTTAAGATTGAAAACAACATTTTGAAAAATGATTTGCTTCAGAATAAATACAATTGCAAATATTGCATATCAATGTCATTTCTCCGATCGATGCGGCATTGATTCGCTACATATTGATTCGCTAGATCGGTGCGGGGGTGGACTAAGGTTGGCCTTCGCGTAACTGAAGTTCACCGCGTATTACAGTTTTCACAATCACCATGGCCAAATCACTTCGCGATTACATCGAACTAAATACAAAGTTTAGAACTCTTGCCACAAATGATTTTGAGAAAAATTTATACAAGTTAATGAACAATGCAGTGTTTGGCAAAACTATGGAGAATGTGCGCAATCATGTAGATGTAAAATTAGTAACAGAATGGGAAGGGAGATATGGTGCGGAGGCACTGATCGCTAAACCAAATTTCCACAGTCGCAGCATATTTTCGGAAAACTTAGTTGCAATCGAGCTGCGCAAACTGTCCGTAAAATTTAACAAACCAATCTATGTGGGTATGTGTATACTAGATATATCTAAGGTTTGTTTGTATGAATTCCGTCACGATTACATGTTACCCACACATAGCGATAAATGTAAAATTATGTACACCGATACAGACA